CTTGTCTTCTTTGTGAATGATAGAATGAAACTCGTCAAGTCGTTTATTGCATAGACGTTTCGGGCTTTAAGCCCTTCTTCAGGTCTACAATCATCACATTCAAAGCCTACACCAACATCATCTAACTTTACAAACACAGGCAAGGAATTCAAAGGGGAAAACAATCAACAATTAACTGACCGGATTCCTGTGGGAGGGAGGGTCGGTCGGGGCGGGTGGGAGATCCGGGAATATGCTGCAAGATGGTCTCTGATGTTGTGACAAACAGTAATACGCAACAATGACTCACCGTCCCAGCTGTCCTTTCCTTTAGAAATGGCACCCTTATATTATCGAACAAACCGAATCCTCTTATATTACATGTTTTTTCATGTAGTTGATTAATTTGATGAAGCATTCGCGTTATAGTGTCATATTTAGAAACCAATTTGAAGATTCGGATATGCAAAAAAGATGAAAAAAACGGCCACTACAGGAACTAGAAACAAATAAGGCACATTGCCGCGTTTATCGCCGCGACCTTGCCAATAGATGCGTCCAGGAGACCCCAGAAAATAGCGGTAATTCGACATAAGCAATGAGAAAGGATCAGAATCAGGGGGAACCAGAATCAAGGTGCACTGCGAGTGAGTAGACAGAGTTGAGTGAAGCTAAACCTTTGAGCATCTACGTCGAGCTCTGTCTTAACGCACTAATAAGCACTGACAGTCTTAATGGCTGCGAACACTGGGGCATTTCAGGGGTGTTGGGCTTGACGCGACGTGCACCAGGCCTTCTCCAGCAATTGCTTTTGCCTACAAGCTTTCACACTAGATGCAAAACAAGCTGACCCCGCGCTAAACCCCATCCCTCCATGAAACGCCCCAGCTTTCGAAGTGAACAGGACCCTAGCGGGCCCTCCTAGTTCTGCCTCCTATCAATTTGCAGATTGCTCAACGATGCCTTTGCGTTCCAGAAACAGTTCTTGATCTCTAATGGTTCAACATTTCGTCTAATTATCATACCCTTATAGAGTCATTGAGCGTGCGGTTTTATGTCCATTAACTTAGTTGCGAGCACAGCAGCGCACGCCCACCTGCGAACGAATGGCCCAGTCAGTCAGAGGGGACAGTGGTGTGTCAACGTTTTTTCGTTTCGTGCTTTCTTATGAACCAGAGACCTCCTACAAGTACTGCTGCCACAACTGAGCCCGCTGTCCACCCCCCCCCCCACCCCACCGCCGAGGTATGGTCATACATTTACATAAGAAAACAGCGCTAGACCACCTTCAGAAAAGCGTGCTTAGCAACATGTGATCTTCGCTAAAAGCATTACCCTGTCACCTCCTGGTACAAAAGGAAAAACGAACAAACAAGGATTCATTTTGACGGAAGCATTGAGTTGGTGAGAATTTTAGCACGCCGCGACTTACTTGGCTGATTTAAACCACTGTTAGGAAAAGCTGACGAAATTCTTGGGGGAAGAGCCAGCCTTTTGCATTTCGTAGTTTGCTGTTGTTTCACACAGTTATCATGAAAGAGAAGTAACAGTCACTTACGTTATCAGGTGGTGAATCGTGTTGAGCTGAGAACGTAGGAGGTGCAGGTTCAACCACTGATGTGGGTGCATGAGACTTCGGCTGCAGAAAGAAAACTTAGGTGGGGAAATTGTTTCACAAAACAAAGTAACCTATAGGCAAACAAGGGGTAAATGGCTCTCGAGGATTTTCGGAG